ATCCATAGGACTCCAACAGAAGTCGGCAGCAATGAGCACTGCAGACAGAGGAGCAACCCAACATCTGTGGCAGAGTGGATTTTTTTTTTTTTTTGTAGTTGTAGATGGACAACATGCCTTTATTTTATTTGTTTATTTATGCAGTGCTAAGGATCAAACCTAGTGCCTCACACACAAGCACTCTGCCGCTGAGCTACAGCCCCAGCCCCTGTGGCAGAGTAGATGAACGTGTTAATGGGTAAAGTAAAAATCCAACTGTAGGGGTGGAGGAAAGCTGGCTGGTGGAGGTGGCATTGGACTGGCCCCTGAAGGAGAAATAGGGTTTCAGCCCACAATGGATCAGGGGAAAGAGCATCGTATGAAAAAGGAAAAGGATGAGCAAACACAGAGCTGTGTGTGTAAGGATGGAGCTGCCAGGTGCAGTGGCACACGCCTGTAATTCCAGTGGCTTGGGAGGCTGAGACAGGAGGATTGCGAGTTCAAAGCCTGCCTCAGCAATAGCGAGGTGCTAAGCAACTCACGGAGCTCCTGTCTCTAAATAAATACAGAAATAGGGCTGGGGATGTGGCTCAGTGGTTGAGTGTCCCTGAGTTCAATCCCCAGTACCAAATAAAGAAAGAAAGAAAGAAAGAAAGAAGGGCAGAGTCATCTGGTGGGATGTCACATGTGACTGTGGTATGGGAGACTGATGAGTATGGAAAGATCAGGCAGGTCACAAAGAAACTTGAATGACACATCAAGGGATTTATTTGTTATTCCTTGTGGGGTGATGGGGAGTGATCAGAAGCAAGATTGTGAGGTTGGGACTTTCAGATGGTCATCCCTGGGGGTGGGGTGTAACAGTGTAAGGCCGAGGCCCTGGAGTTGCTGGGGACAGGTGGGTGTGCAGCACGGCTCTGGAGGCCCGGGGCAGGGTGTAAGGGCCCCAGCCCTCAGTCTGGTTCTCTTCAGTGACCATTTCCTGGCTCCTGCATGCCCCTCTGCCCCCCACCCCACACGTACACAGCTAGGGAGGGGCTGGGAGGCAGCTCCTGGCAGCTCCCCTGGTCGCCATGGATAGAGCTACACAGCTCCATCCATCTGTTTGGCCCAGCCCCTGTGGGGCCTCTGTGGTTAGGTCTTTGTGTTTACACAGTGGCCCTCTTTGTCCTGAGCAGCCTCCCTCCTACCCTCCCACCTCCCTCTTGCCCTTCTCCCTCTCCCTCTCTTCTCTCTCTCTTCTGTGTTACAAGAAGCACCAGCTTTGCTGAGAGACAGGCCAGGGCTCTGACCTTGGCTTTCCCCACTGAGTCTCTGCATAACCCTAAGCATCTTGCTTCTCTGAGCCCCTCCCTGGTTAAGTCCATGAAAAGGAGCCATTGTAAGGAACAAACTTGTGGTGCAAACTGGTCCAGTACCCAGGGCTAAGACCCAAACAATAAGTGATGTTCACAAGAACCCCTACCCAACYTTCACTCTGTTCCCTGGACTTTTCTTACTTTTCCACCTCATCCTTACCTTGTCGGGCCAAGAGGCTACCATTCTCCCATTTGACAGATGAGGAGACCAGGCCTAAGGATAAGGCTGGCTTCACAGGCATACGGCCTATAGAATTACATGGGGTCCAAGCTTGGAAGGGCCTTGAATTTTGTTTAATATTCTGCTGTCACAATTTTGCAATTCTCAATAATTTTTGAAAAAGAGTATCCACATTTTCATTTTGTCCTATGTCCCACAAATTATATAGCTGGTTCTGCTTGTAGGGGAAATAGAGTGGAGGTTTTCCTAGGCCTGGACCAGGCTTCCTATTTCTCAGAGCTGCCTCCTTGGGGGCCTGCATTCTGGCCTGGTTGAGAGCCAGAGCCACCAGGCTGCAGTCAGCATCCGAGCCCTGGCCCCTGCCTGGAAATCTGAGGAGCTCAGTTCCTGGCCTGCAGGCTGCTGTAGCAGTCCAGGGAGCAAGGAASGCCAGGCTGCTGGAGCCAGCCTAGCCCTGTGTAACTGGAGCCACCAGTGTGGGTCCCAATAGCTTGATCTAGCCATTTCTATGGGAACTCAGCAGGGCCTTCCTTCCCACTGGGTGCCATTCCAGGGCCAGGAGACTCACTACAGGCTCACTGCATGACTTTGGACTTTTACTTCACCCTCCTTAGCCTCAGTTTCCCTAAAATTAACATAAGAATGATAACACCCATCTCATGGGCCRAGGAGGGGGCTGCCTTAACCATGACTAGCACAAAGAATGTGATCACAAAATGGGGTCCTTCCTCCTTCACTCACATCAGATACTCATGGAGGCTGACAATGTGACAGGGACAGTGCGGGGTACTGGGCATTTATCTGTGTGCAGGAAGGACCCAGGCCCTACCTCAAACATGTTCTCAATAAAGAGGAGATAGGCACTGAGAGAGACAGCAGTGTGGCAAGTGGCARGGCACCTGAGCTAGGTCTTAGAGGAGCTATGGCTGGAAGCCAGGAGGAGGTCAAGAGCCCAGAGGAGATGTTGCAAGAAGAGGGAGCAGCAAGTACCAGGCAGGAGGTGAGCAAGGGCTCCGCTCTTTAGCCCAGCCGGCAGAAGGCAAAGCACAGAGGTGGGGCCCATAGTGCCAGTCTGGAGCTGGGCTTTGTCTTGAGGATGTCAGAGTCTCCAAGCAGTATGAGRCAAGGATGGCAGTGAGGAGTGGCAGAGACACCCCCTTAGTCTGCGACAAGATTAGAACCTGGGCCAGGCAAGGACTCCACCCCAGTATGCAGTTGCAGAAGTTTCTCTCAGGGGAGGTGAGAGAAGTGTTGAGAGGGAAGATGAGAAGGCCCCGGGTGAGCCAAGTGCCTCCACAGGACTGGAGAGGCAGGAAGCCTCCTAATGCATGGTGGGAGCGGGGAGCCATGCTCTGCTCTGCCCCTCCTGACCCACTGCTGCTAATGGAGCCCTCCCCTGTGCCCCCATGGCTCCATTACCCACCTCGTGGGGACTATTACTGTGCCTGGGCCTTCACCATTAGGCTGCTTGGTTCCAGAGAGACTCTCTTGTTGCTATTCTACCCCTTTAGAAGGCACTTGCTGTGTGACTCACTGGGCCTCAATTTCCTGGTTGGATCAATGGTTCAAAATTCTTTTAGCCATAGAATCATCTATGTATTTTCAACAAATTACCAGGAAATGCAAATAAGTAAAAATACAAAGCACAAATGCATAAGTTGAAGTGGAATGGGAGGGTCCCAGACAACCCCGGGAAGGGGGACTTTGCTGTGGAATGTGAAGCCCATTGGACTTGATGACTTCCAAAACTGCATGAAGGAAGTGCCTGGCAAAGTGTCAGGGGATCTCCACCCCCAGCTCTTCTTGGAAAGAATACAAATCCTTGAACTTGGGTGGCTCAGGATGATAGGCAAAACCCTGAAAAAAGAACTTTTAGACAGGCCAGCAAATAAGGTTATTATTAACACTCCATTTTACAGAAGAGGAGACTGAGGCTCAGAGAGAAGTCATAGGAAAAGTGAGGCCAGACAGGAATCTGAACCAGAGGAGGTGGGGTTCAAGGACAGGGCCCTTTACTATATCACCTGATGAGCAGGTCAGGTGTCAAAAGTCTCAGGGATGTAGTTCCTTTGGCTATAGAGTAGGGGAGTTGGACCGCAGCAGAGGACGCACAGCCCTGGACTGAGTACTTTGTGGCGTGTCTGCTAGAAGCTGAGGCTGGGCTTGGGCCTTCATCTTGATATCAAAGGGGAAACAGCTGTGACAATAGTTTTGTTGTTGTTGTTTTGTTTTGTTTGTTCTGTTTGGGTACTGGGGATTGAACTCAGGGACACTCAATCACTAAGCCACATCCCCAGCCCTATTTTGTATTTTATTTAGACACAGGATCTCACTGAGTTGCTTAGCACCTCACTTTTTCTGAGGCTGGCTTTGAGCTCACCATCCTCCTGCCTCAGCCTCCTGAGCTGCTGGGATTACAGGTGTGCACCACYACTCCTGGCACAATAGAAGTTTTGACAGCTTGAAAGGGAGAAGAGGGAGAGGGGATTGGAAGAGATTACAGTGCCCAAAAGGACTTACCCACACTGGGACCCTAAGGCCTCGGCCCCACAAACTGGGGATGTGGGAATAGCTAGGCCTCTGGAAACTGCATGGGTCAGCCTGGAAAACAGGCGGAGGAGGAAGGACAAGGGGCCTTTGTGTCTCCCAAGCAAATCCCAGGGACTGCAGATGCTTCTTAGCCACAGAGCCTTGTATATCCTCCCTGCTCTTACTCCTACAGGGATGCAGCCAGCATCCTTTGGGGCCCCTACTGGGCTTGGAAGCCAGGCTCCTGTCAGCTGACCTGCAGCCCAGTCAGGCCCCAGGACCCTGGGCAAACTCCTTGGCCACAGGAAGAAGCCTGTTCTGCACTTGTCCAGCCACTGGACCATCCAAAGAGCCAATAGATGGACAGTGGTAGGTGGGAGGATGAGTGGGATGGCTCCCTTTCACAGCAAAGAGGCCCTGAGAGGGACTGGAACAGTGGCTGAAAGTCCCTGAGTCAGTGCCAGAACCTACACTCCTGAGTTCTAAACCAGAAATGAGGCCGGGTAGGGAGGCTCTCCTTCATTCATGCTTACACATAAGCCAGGACACAGCACCTCCCAGGACCTTTAGGATAGCAGTAGGGAGAAGGGCCACCTGGTCCCTGCCCTCCTGAGCTCAGACTGGAGAGGGACAGAAACACGGTCTATGATTACATAAGGCCATCAGAGTGGGGTTGAGGGCAGAGAAGGGAATTAAAGCAGCTAAAGGTGAGAGACCAAAAAGAATGAGGAATCTGGTGACCTGCTGGTGGAATGAAGGAAGGGGAAGGAGAGCACAGGGACAGGGCCTCCCTTCACTGCTAGGGGCTGGAGAGAGAGGCAGAGACCTGAGTGTTCCCTGGGTTTTCCGGTCTCAGCGTGGTGACCTGAGTTGGTCCCATCAAGGAGAACAGGTGCTGGGGCAGGAACAGGATAGAGGCGGCGAATCGTCGCAAAGGTCCCTCAGTGGGTAATGACAGGAGCCAGGCCAGCTTGCAAACCTAGTAAAACTTTGGCGTCTCTCAGTATCTTTTCTCACAAGCTCCCTGCGCTCCCTGCTCCTCTGAGTGAGTCTGACGGCTTCTTCCTTCTGCGGGGCCAGGTGGTAGGACCGTCGGTCGCCGCCTGTGCTTCCTGCCGCAGCACCCTTTGCGGGTGCGCTGACCCCACGACTGTGGGGCTGGGYGGCGTCCCCAGAGTGGTGACGGGTGGCGAGGTGGCGAGGTATCTACTCGGGCGTGTGGGGGCGGTGCCGGGGTCTGTCCAGAGTCCGCTCCGCCCCCGGGGGCCAGGCCGCAGGGTAGGGAGCGAGGTGGGGCGGGGCGGGGGCCGCGGCGCTCCCAGGCACGTGGGACCCTGCGCAGCGGCAAGACGTCGGCACCGGCACCGGCACCGGGGAACAGCGGCCACAGCACCTGGGGCGGACGAATTCAGCGTGGAGGCAAGGGACAGGCCGCCTAGTGGGAGATCGAACCCTCGGAGAGGTTGGCGGGCGCTGCCCAGGGACGCTGCCGGGTCCGACTGACGCGGGTGCGGACTCGGCGCTGGGCAAGGAATGGGCCGTGTGTGTGTCACTGCCCGACCAGGGCATGGTTCCGAGCCTGAGTGTGGCGCGTAACTGGACGGCGGGACGCCCCGTGAATCCGTGATCTTTGTCTTCGCTGGCGCGCAGATCTCAGTGAGTGTGGATAGCCACCGCGGACTAGGGTGTGTATGTCCGCCTGTTGGGAAAGTCTGTGTGTCAGTGAGTGCCCCTGGGGAGAGAGTATCTGAACTTCTCTGTGTGTGTGCGCTCTAAACTGTGTTCTTTGGTGTAGGAGCCCCTGGGGCAATGGGACCGGCCAGAGACCAGGCAGTTCCCAAGACTTGCTGCACTCCTGTCCTCCCCCCAGGATCGCTCTGGGTGGCTCCCACCCACCCCAATCCTGGGCGTTGGTAAAACTGGGAAGGCAGTAGCACGGGCGGAGGAGGGCAGTGGTGAGGAAGAACAGTTAAGACTTTAATCTGTCCGCAGACTTTTAATCTGGCAGGTGGTGCCGTAGAAAGGGTCAGTCAGGAGAAAGGCAGTGCCCCCTCCCACTAGAACAGCCAGTGTCAGGCTTGGCCTCCACCCCCCACCCTCCAGGGCGTCCAGCCCAAGTACCAGGTCCTGCTAGAAACTAGCTCTGCCAGTTTGGGATTCATGGAGATGGGGGATCTCTATTCCTCTCAGCATAGCATTGGAAGATTCACTGGGTCCACAGTCTTGCTTTGGAGCTAGGCTAGAATATGATGAGCTTTTGAGGATCAGATTTGAACCCCAGGGAAGTCTCAGTTTTCTGTGGTGAGAATAGGAGAAAGGAGGTTCTTTGAGCAGCTAYCCTCTAAAAGGACCAGTAAGGTCTTGCATGTGAGAGTGTGGGGTTAGGGGGTGAAGGAAAAGTCCTGGCACAAAAGGCCTGTCACTCTTTCTCCTCTCTGCCAGGGCTGTCCTGGGGCATAGACAGAGGGTTGGGGAGCACTGGGCAACCCTCAGAAATGGTTAATGAACTTGGCCTAAAGAGTGTGGCTGWGACCTCTCCATTTCTGTCCCCATCTTGCACAGGATGCACAGGGCCCAGTTCCCCCAAAGACAGCTAAGAGAACATGAGGTCATCACCAAGATCTCATGAGCCCAACAAAAGCTTTGGTTTCATGGCTGTAACCCATTATGTAATTGTGCCTCTCTAAGTATCAGTTTGCCACCCATAAATTGGGAATGTTGATCCTTGCCTCTTTGAAGGAGATCAGACCTTTGAAGAGATTGGTGGGCACAGCCCAGGGTCGCTGCTGGTCCGACTGGATCTGGTGCAGACTTGGAGCTGGGCAAGGAGTGGGCTTAGAGGATTCTTAAGATAGAGGCCAGGAAAGGGCTTGTGTATGTGTGTGTGTGTGTGTGTATGTGTGTGTTGTGGATTGAACCCAGGCCTTGTGCATGCTAAGGATGCACTTTACCACTGACCTACACTCCCAGCCCAGTAAAGGGCTTTGTCAACTCAATGCAGTGCATGGGGAGGAGCATGATACTCAAAGGTCTTTTGAAGAGCAAAATAGAACACAGATGCAACCGCAAGGGATTGTGTTGGTTATGGGAATTTAATTATTGAATGCCTTCCTCTCCCCATGACCCCCTCTACAAAGATAGCTTGATAGTAATAGTTTTTTWAAAAACCCTCATTTTATCCTCCAATGGCCCCGTGAGAAAGAAATTATTATCTCCATGTTGCAGATGAGGAAATAAAGAGATTTGGGGAGTATCTTCCCTGAGATCACAAAGCCCAGTGAAATCTGGGCCTCCTGCTTACCTGCCCCATCCAAGACAGAAGCCCCATCAGGGCAAGGCAAGTCCTCTACCTTCAAAGCCGAAAGGAGTTTGAATCCTCTCCTGGGAATCTGTTTTCATGGCTTACCCAGCTGCTGACAAGATAAGGCCAGCTCAGTTCTGCTCATARGGCCAGGGGAGCCTTGCAGATCTGGTGAGGGGAGGGAGAGGTGCCCCTGATGGAATCCTTCTTCTCCTCTAACTACATTCTATAAGCCTTTTATCTCACACCTTCCTCTTGGGCTGCCCTTGGAATCTCAGGCCTGTTCTGTCCCTACCACTGGGTACCGATGGAGGAAAGCTGATGGAGGGAAGCTGGCTATGGGACTCTCCTTGACCTCTGTACCCATCCCTGAGAGAGGCCAGTTGCAGGTCGAGGCTGAGTCATCCCTGCTTTCTTACCCTGTCCCTATCACCTGGCACACAGAGGGTGTCCTTGAACAGAACAGTTCTTATACTTCTTCATCACCCAGTCTCCTAGGCYTGGGTCATGTGTGTCCTGGGATAAATAGCAGGAATCCCTAGTGGGAGGGTGAGCAACCCAGGCCCTTCTGGGTAGCTCTTGATCTTCCATCCTAGTACCCTGTCACTGTCACTGCAGTTCCTCAGAGAAGAGGTCTGTGCACTGGGGGCCTCCCTTAGACTTGTATTCCTATGGCTTCCTGGTGAGTGTCCAGCCTCCCAGCCCACTTTGTAGGAGGAAGACTTACCATGGTGGGTTGGGGTGCTGAGGAAGGATGCTCCCCATCTAGCAGGGAGTCCAGGGTCAAAGAACAGTTCTTCTTACCATATTCTTGTATGTCTCCTCCCTCATCTCCCTCCCTCCAAACCCTCTAGTTCTGTCTACCTTACATGTGGCACCATCTTTGTAAAGGTCAACTCTGACCATGACCTTCCCCTTTTAAGCCAGAATAGTGGCCCAGCTCCTCAGCCTGGTCTTCTAGCTCTTTTATATAAGTTCCTCGGGCCCCTACACATTCCATGCCACCTAACGGTCCATGCCAGCCACACACAACCTGTGTTTCCTTAACAGGCTATACTCTTGCCCGCTGAGTCTCAGCACTTGCATCCTCTGCYTTCTGTGTCCTCCCACCTCTATGTCCACCTGACAAACTCCTAATCATCTACCAAGTGCCAGTTCTTCTGGGAAGTTCTCCCTGAGCACCTCTGGCTGGCTGGGAGTTCCTCTGGGCTCCATGGCCCCTTGATTGTGTCTTCATCACCCAGGTGGACTGGGTCCATGTCAGTGTCTCTTCCCTAGCCAGAATGGGCATTCCTCAAGGGCCCTATAGTGCATGACGTGAGGCTGAGTTCACAGGATCCCTGTAAAGCAGGGCACACAAGGGCACTGGCGCGTGCTTGCTGGGACTTCATGGCTCCTGGGAATGTGACTTGTGCAGACTCCTGTAGTTCTGCAGATCTCAAATCAAAGCCCATCAGAACCATTAGTAACAAGACTGAAGAAACAGCACTTACTCCCAGAAGAGCTGGACTCTGAGAACCAATGAACTTGGAATCCTGGAGCTGAGACCATCTCAGACACACAGCCTTGCATAGATCCCATTCTATGCTTTTGTCCTTTTCCACTTGGGGTCTCCCATCTCCTTTCCTCCCAAGCTGGACCCTTCCTGCTCACCTTCAAACCTGATCATAGCTCCTCTTCCAGGATCCTCACTGACTGTTCTAACCATGACTTCTGCCCCTCTGGGGGCACTAGARAGGGACCCAGTTGAGAAGTAGCACAGGCTCCTGGAATTCGGTGTCTCCACTATGATGGGCAGATGCAGCCTCCACACCAGGACAATTTGCCAGCACCATGAAATGCCCACCTGCCTCTTGTCTAACTTGTTTCTCATGAGCTATTCCATGGAGCAGTGATTCTCCCCATTTGACCATCAAAGAGTGCAAAACTCAGAAAGGGAGACTGACTTGACCAAGAATGCACAGCATAGATGTTTCCAAGTTGGAGCCCAAACACAGGGTCTTGCCTCTTGAGTCTGACTGGCAGAGTTTTGTTGTGATGGATAGGAGAGGAGCCCAGGGCATTGTGTTTCTGAACCTGTTYAGTTCAGGAGCTGGTTTCCATAGCCCTGTGCAGGGCAGTGCTGGGCCTGGGTGGGAGGGGTGGTTTGGTCCCAGCCTGGCTGAAGAAGGCTCTGCCTCTTTAGCATCTCAGTTTCCTGATCTGTTCGCCTGGCTGATCTGAAACTTGCCCATTCACAAGCTCTGACCTCAGCCTCCGTGTGAGGTCCCCACACTCTGTGGGGGTTCCCAAGAGGACAAGAGTTTCAAGTGAGGTTTACAGAGCTCAGGGGGAGGCTTCCTACTGCACCATGGGTCACCTGGGTCATCTGGGTCACCCATCATCTGTGTCCCCAGGCCGGCTCCTCCTACTGCAACATGCCAGACAAGGTTGAGGAGCCTGCTGAACATTGACCCCTTGGAGGACATTTGGAAGGGTACAGGGTGACTTCTTATCTCCTAATCCCGTGCAGCCCAGCCTTGTCCTCCACTGTTCCCAAACTACAAGGATGATGAACAGTTCTTGTCGTCTTTGCCCTGGTTTCTGCTCACTCTCTTCCACTCTGTCTAACTACCTGACTCCTACTTATCTTGTAAAATGCAGGTAAGGGTCCTCGCCTCCAGGAAGCCTTCCCTGACCACCCTTTCTTCCCTGCTAGGGGAAGCTTCTATTCTTCTATCAAGAGGAGGTTGAGGAGCTGGGACTGGGGCTCAGTGGCAGAGCACTTGCCTAGCATTGGGTTCGATCCTTAGCACCACATTAAAAAAAAATAAAGTGATTATTAAATTATTTTTTAAAAAAGGAAGTTGAGATTTGGGTTTTGGAATTGCAAGACTTGTCCAGGACCTACAACTGGGAATGGCAGGATTTCCTATCTGCCCAGTACTCCCTCCTGCCCCCTTGACGCCATTCTAGGCCCATTGATTGTGTCTTCATCACAGCATCCCGCCCCTGGCAGCAGGGGTCTTCAGAGTAGTGATAGGACATTCTCCCCTGCCAGGCTGGACAGGGTCCACCAGTCAGGCGGGTGGCACATTCCAGAGCCACCCTAGTGGAGGAACTGGAATGTCGTCTAACCACCCTGGAAATTCCGCAGCCAGCCTGGGAACTGCCTCTGTCCCTCCTCCTGGCTTTGGGCTCACTAGCCTAGGACCACAGAAAGACCCAGATTAGGGTAGGGACAGAGCCAGGTCAGGAAGTAGGCTTACCCCCCATAGGCTTGGCTTGGCTCTTTACTTCCTGGTGACCTTGGCCAAGACCTTGAATTGCTCCTTTTTGGTCTTAGTTTTTCTATGTGTGAGATGGGTGCAGTAACCATCTGGCCACTTCACACTAGGGAAGTACTAAGAGGAAGAAACGTCAGTTGGGCACTCCTCTGCTGGAGACCTGACCAGACAGAGCCATGGGGCTCAAAGGGGGGTGATCAGCTTCCTGTAGATAGGGCCTGGACCTTGCCGGATAGGAGGCCATGGTCAGAGACACAGTTTCTGAAGACAGATCAGAGTTTTCTGCCATTGCTAGCTTTGTAAACCTTGGGGGGAGGGGTGTTATTTAGCCCTTCTAAGTCTCAGGATTAAATGAGAAGAGGTATATGAAGCTGTCTAACACAGAACTTGACACAGACAGCACTTCACTTGTGTTACAATAGAGTTGTTAGAAGATAAAGAAGGCTGTTCCCAAGCAAGATATGCCATATGACTGCTTTTGCTGTGCTGAGACTAGAGGATGAGGGTGGAGTTTTCTGGAGGGATGGCAGGAACCAGATCAGCCAGGTCCTTAAGTGCCAGGTTAAGGAGCTTGGACATTATCCTGAAGGACTTAGGGAGCCATGGAAGGATTTTGAGCTTTATAGCACATGGTCAGATTTGAGTTTTAGGAAACTCATGTGATTGCAGCATCAAGGCTGGACAGAGGGTCAGGGGTGGAGGCAAGGAGTCCTGTGAAGAGGCTGGTGGTGGTCTGGAAGAGAAGCACAGGGCTGTGGGTGTGCACAAAACACACAGGGCTTATCTGGAAGACTCTCTTGCTTGACTGACAGGACTTGGTGAGTGATGGGCTGCCAGTGGGATGAGGAGAGCGAAGGTGAATCCTGAAAGGCTGGTGGAGGCCCTTCTCAGAAACGGGGGAATGACCTTGAAGAAGTGCCTATGCTCCTCCACTGACTGAGTGGAGGCATCTCCTCAAAAGGAGAGAGGTGTGTGCCTGGGAGGAGTGGGGTGAAGAGATGAAGCTCTTCATCTTGTCACTGGATTCTARAGCAGACAGGCAGATAATAATCAGCCTGCTGGCCCATGTCACACAGTGCCCAGAGGCACTTCCTTGGCTCCCTCCTTGCCCTACACCTGTAGCCACTCACCTCTCCACCTCCATTCTAGGGAAATGAAGCAGATGGGAAGAGATCTTTCCAGAAAGGCACATTCTTCTGCTGTGTCGTGTCTGAGGTCATGGGTGCTGGGACTTGCCCATAAAGAGGAGTTCCTCCACTGCCAACCATCCCCTCCTGGAAGCCCGGGGTTTGGTGTGTATGAGGCTCCCAGGTGAGACAAGAAGGCCCAGGTTCTAATCTTAACTCTGTCCTTTATTTACCCTGAGGCCTTGGGACTGTTCTTCCTCATCAAAAGCAGGTTTAGGGACTGGAGTTGTGGCTCAGTGGTAGAACACTTGCCTGGCATGTAWGAGGCCCTGGATTTGATCCTCAGCACCACATATAAATAAATAAATATAAAAGATCCACTGACAACTAAAATATATATATATTTTAAAGTGGATTTGCACACCTCCATGTATCTGTGCCTGTGTGTTCAGATGGACCCTATGTGTGTATAACACCCATGAGAAATGCCTAGAGGCATGAGTGGGGAGGTGAGCTACTTAGAGACCCAGCTTAGGCAAAAATGTGCTGGCAGAAGTTCCACAGAGTGTGTGCTAGGCAAGGAGAGTATTGACCATTTCCTGTCTAAAGCACAAAACCTAGATGGAGGGAGGGGACGATGGAGGCCTGGCTCAGCCCTGAAGGACATGGAAAGAGGTCTTCCATCCTGTGAAAGGGGGTCCCTGGGAAGGGGGCTGCAGACATGCTCCCTGGAGCGTGTGAGCTGGGGCTAGATAATGGGGTGTGTGTGGATGTGGCATCCAGGATAAGCACATCCGATCACTTCACTGTCTTTTGGGGTCCAAATTTAGAACTGAGGAGGGAGCCCTAGGGGTACTTGGCCTGGTTGGCTTCCCTTGTCAACTCTGTGTGTCTGCAGGAGCCCCTGTTGTAGCTGTCTGCCCTGAAAAATGCTGGAGGCTGGGCAAGGCCAGAGGCTGGGGAACCAGTTTATCCTGTTTGCCAGAAGAGCTCCCTGCGGCAGATCCAGGCCTGTGCATTCATGAGTGAGGAACCTGAGCAGCCTCTGAGCATCCTGAAGGTGAGAGCAGGGCCTGGTCAGGTACAGGTGTGTGAGGTGGGTCTGCTGGCTGGGAGGCTGGGCAGGTGCTGACATGATGTCTAAGTAAATGAACTAAACCCGGGTTAGACTGTGGGAATCCTAAGGCCGGTGCCTTGTCCTGCTTCTTTGTTCCAGGGTGTGATGAATTCAGGCTTCGGTGTTGAGATTCAGCCCTTGGTGTTGAGATTAGTTTTTCCAATTCCTGGCAGTGTGACCTTGAACAAACAGCTTAACTYCTATGGCAGTATCTACCAAGGGGTGGGAGTGGGGGATTCGTGAAGATGCTTAATGGAAGTTGCTTGGCCTTGATTGGCTACTACAACAGAACAAGAATAGCAGAGGGGACTCCAGGATGGGAAACTATGAATCAGAGATGGGCCAGGTAAAAGCATGTGACTCACCTTAGACAGCTGACCCACCTGTAGGATGCCTTCCTGCCTGTCCAGAGAAGGGCAAGGTCTTCTGGGCTCCTGCAGCTATTGAAGGAGGGATAGTCCAGGGGCAGGAGAAGGCCCTGGGCAGGGTGGGCCACCAGAAGGGCCACACTGACCCCTGACCACCAAAGAGAAATCTTTATATATCACTGTCCTCCTATAGGCCCTCTGAGGAGAGAGAGAAAGGAGAGGCACCTCCATCAATCTCAGCTCCTCGGGGCTCTCACAACCTGTTGTGTTTCTTTAACTCATTGGCTCATTCATTCTCTTTCCTGCAATAGGAAAGGTCTCTTGCTGGGTCATAGGGACAGAAACCAGCCCTCAAGGAGCACCTAGCATGTATTGAGGTAGAACTGGAAGGACCAATTAATTACTAACAAGACCTGAGGAACAGCCTGAGGAGGTGCCTGAGAGGGGCAGAGCTCCAGTCATGTGGTGACATTAGAAGAACCTGGAGCATTGGGTAGGATGGGTGCAGTGTGTGTGGGTTCTGGAAAGAATTTCTAGACAGAAAGTACAGCATGAATAAAGGCAGGGAAGCCTGGGAGGGCCCTCAAACATCTCACATCTCTTTCCAGAATGGGAGCTCCTCAGGGTTGGGCCAGCCAGAACTGGGCACAGTGGAGCCAATGAGTGGTGAGAGGGACCAGTGACAAAGTCTGGTGGAACAGTCCCTWCAGAGCTCAGGGTGAGGGTCCAGGGCAGTAGAGATCAGGAGAGGCAAAGGGGAGGCCTGAGGGAGAGGGCTGGGGACATAACTATCTTCCTAAARTAGGGACTGGAGGCTAGGAAGATGGTCTCACAGTTGATGAGTCAGCCTGTGGAGGGAGAGGGTGGGAAAGGTCAGTCTGGACCAGGGCCACAGTGATGGAGTCGCCAGCTGGCCTGGAGGGTGGAGGCCAGGATGTCTTAAAGCAGGTGGAAGGGGCAGCTCCCTCCGTTCACTGGGAGACAGGGAAGTCTCCACCCCTCCTCTCAGTGTCAGAGATTCCACCATTAGTTTCCAGCAGGAAATTTGGTGCAGGGCAATGGGCTGTTGACCAGGAAGGGATGCTGAGGGCCCTGACCCCGCCTCTGAGGGGAGACAAGGCGGTCAGCACTGGAGCAGGAGCAGAGCAGCAGCATGGGAAGGACCAGGTGAGGAGGGAAGTTTGGAGGCTGTATTTCTCCAAGGATGGGGGATTTGAYCCATGAGAGGGCTGAGGTTCAGGAGATTCTTCCCATCAGGGGCTCCTGCGATGATTTCCATCCTGCCTTCTGGGACTTTGGGGGGCATATCTTTGCCTTTCGGACCAGGATATYTGTCCACTGCCTCCCAGCTGAGGGAGCTGTTACTGGTTACAGGGTGGGGTGGGGTGGGATGGAAAGAGGAGGAAGGTGGCATCTGCCCTCCAGGCAAGTGGAGCTCAGACCCCATGGGTATGACCCACACCCACAAGGGACAGAGTAGGGGAATGTCAGGATTGTGATGGTATGTAAAGAGAAACTAGCTGTGCCCAGAAGAGGCTARATTTGTTCCATGAAAAAAGTTCCATTCTCTATCCCCATCTCTTCCCTGGACTCTTTAGGAAGGTCACTGTCCCATCTGGTAGCCCCACAGGCTGGGGATCAGGACTGCTGGGTACAGATGTAGAAAGTGCCAGAATATAGGAATATCTAAAAAATATGTTGAATGATTGAGGAAGGAAATATGTCGGCCTCCCCAGAGACTGGGAAGATGAACCTAAGGAAGCCCTGGGATGCCTCCAAAGGAGCTGGGCTGCCCTGGCCAGAGACCCCTGAGCAGGCAGAGGGCACTTGGTGTTCACTGGATCCATACAGCCTTGAATGCCCCTTCCCATGTACATGAAATGATCCCCTTCTGCAACCCCAGATCCTCATGTTCCAAAGCTCAGAATCCTAGGTTTCAAACCCTCTGATCTGGAGCTTCCATAGCTGGAACAGCACTTTTTTTTTTTTTTTTTTTTTTAAGACATATGGCCTTTGTCACATCCACTCAACTCTGTAAACAGATGGGTATTGTTGTGTTCCAATAAAGCTAAAACTCCACTTCCAAAAAAAAAAAAAAAAAAACTGTGGGCTACAGGCCATTTGCCAACTTTTGTTGTGAATTTTAGAATTACATGAGGCTGATATCCAAGGACCTGAAGCATTCTTGAGGTTTCAGGGTTTGGAGATTTGGAGTCCAGGGAGAGCTGCTAACCAGATAGGGGAAAAACAAAACAACAACAACAAAAAAAACGCCCTTGAACCTAGGCAAATCTTAACAAGGGAATCTGTGAGCCCTCTGTGTCTGTCCTGGCCCTGGTCAGGGACGCCAGTCAGGCATTCCCACAGGGCCCGAGCCCTGACCCTGATGGCGGTCCTCTCAACCCTCCCTTCCTCGCAGGGTGATGGAGGTGGGCCTGGACCTCTGGAATGACACCGTCAATGGCACCTGGGATGGGGATGAGCTGGGCTACAGGTGCCGCTTCAACGAGGACTTCAAATACGTGCTGCTGCCTGTGTCCTACGGCGTAGTGTGCGTGCTCGGGCTGTGTCTGAACGTCGTGGCGCTCTACATCTTCTTGTGCCGCCTCAAGACCTGGAACGCCTCCACCACGTACATGTTCCACCTGGCTGTGTCCGACGCTCTGTACGCGGCTTCCCTGCCGCTGCTGGTTTATTACTACGCCCGCGGCGATCACTGGCCCTTCAGCACCGTGCTCTGCAAGCTGGTGCGCTTTCTCTTCTACACCAACCTCTACTGCAGCATCCTCTTCCTCACCTGCATCAGCATTCACCGGTGCTTGGGGGTCCTGCGCCCTCTACGCTCCCTGCGCTGGGGCCGGGCCCGCTACGCCCGCCGGGTGGCAGCGCTGGTGTGGGTGTTGGTGCTGGCCTGCCAGGCACCCGTGCTCTACTTTGTCACCACCAGCGCACGTGGGAGCCGCATCACCTGCCATGACACCTCGGCCCCTGAGCTCTTTAGCCACTTTGTGGCCTACAGCTCGGTCATGCTAGGTCTGCTCTTCGCCGTGCCCTTTGCCACCATCCTGGTCTGTTACGTGCTCATGGCACGGCGGCTGCTTCAGCCAGCTTATGGGAGCACAGGAGGCCTGCCGCGGGCCAAGCGCAAGTCGGTGCGCACCATTGCCCTGGTGCTGGCTGTCTTCGCCCTCTGCTTCCTGCCTTTCCACGTCACCCGCACCCTCTACTACTCCTTCCGCTCGCTTGACCTCAGCTGCCACACCCTCAATGCCATCAACATGGCATATAAGATTACCCGGCCGCTGGCCAGCGCCAACAGTTGCCTTGACCCTGTGCTCTACTTCTTGGCCGGGCAGAGGCTGGTCCGCTTTGCCCGAGATGCGAAGCCACCCACAGACCCCAACCCTACCACTCGGGCTCGGCGCCGGCTGGGCCTGCACAGGTCTGGCAGAACTGATGCCAAGAGGACAGATTTGTCAGCCAGCAGTGAGGACTCCAGGCGGACAGAGTCCACACCGGCTGGGAATGAGCACACTAAGGACATCCGGCTCTAGGACCTGACCCCTCAGGCCTGTGCAAGTTTATATGGGGGGAGCTGTAAGGGACCAGGGCTTGTTCAAATGGGACAGTGTACCCAGAAATTGACCATCTGTGACTGTCACTTGGCAGGGCCTCGGGATACTTTCCTTACGGTCCAGACAGTCAGCTGCCATCATTTGTAAGTGTGAGTTGGGTAATAAGATTTCAAAACAGACACATGTTTAGGGCCAATGCCACCTGACTCCCATGCAGATAGCTGGCTGATCCTGTCAAGGTATCTAGACTGGAATCCAGCCTGATCAAGTCAAATGGAGAAGGCCCTGAGAGGAAGGGGATGTACCAGGGTCAAATAGCAGTCTAGACCTGAGCTAGCTACAGTGGARCAGAGTCACAAGTTAATCAGAGGGCCCTGGTGAGTAGTCAGGGTCCAGCTCCCACAGCAGTCTGGGGTGGGTCTGGGTCTTAGTGGACTCAGCTTAGAGGAGTACTCCTAGCCCGAGAGATGAACATCTGGGAACTGATGTGATAAACCCATCTGGAGGCTCCCAGCCTACAGCCTACACTTAGAGGCTGTAACTGAAACTAAAGATTATGCTGCTTGTTGAGCTGTGCTCTGTTGTTTGGTCAGAGGATGGGGATGCAGCCTGGGAGGGTTTYAACACCCCTTAAAAGCCTTTCTCCAGCCTGTTCTCTTCTGCCATCTGCCTTCCCATTGGCTGCTTCAGGGGAGTTTCACATCAGGGATCCCTCTGTAGGCCTCAGGTACTCTCCCACTTTAAAGCCAGTTGGTTTCTGTGCCAAGAGTCAGGTGGGGTTCCAGTCCTTGGAGTTCCCCAATTTAGGTAACAACCAGTCATATGCTGGTTATTGTTAAACCTTTTAAGTAGATCTCTGGCAGCAGGGAACCCCTTATTTGTAGCATTGCCAATGATACAAATATTCCTACCATGCACAATTTCAAATTACCAAAGCAATGGCAACCTCTTTGCAAAATTCCTGAAAATTTGACTGTTGACAGGTACAAGTTGCTCCAGCATACCTCGGGATGATGCTGAGTGGTTGGGGCTGTGGGCCAGCAGGTCAGGGAATGCTGGAGTGGTGGGTGCTCCTGAGCTGTGGCTTCTGAGAAAGCAGTTCACTGAAACATCCAGGTACCAGACACATCCTAAGCAARGACATGCAGGTAGAGGGTGGGTGTGCAGGGACCATAGCAGGTTGGCAGGTGGCACTCAGGCTCAAGAGAGAGATAAGGCCAGGGGCCAGATCACAAGGAGGCCGAGCCAGTCTTCTTTCTTTTCCTGACCACGAAGCTTCCTTTGCACTGGCTAAGTGAGAGAGAGAGTCATGTCTCTTCCCATCTAGGCCTTGGCCTTCTGGTAAAATCYCAGCTACAGCTGATGGTTGGTGTTCAAGCTGGGTTAACATAGGGGGTAGGTCTCACTTGTGACRAGTGTTGGGTTCACTCTGAGCTGATTTATGGAGCTCAACTAGCCAGGGCCAGGGCCAGGGAAGAACAACAGGCTTCACTCTTGACCTCCAGGACAGGAACTCAGTTGTCTCCCTCTAGGAGAACCCTTGCCCTGTGAGCCCACTCTGCCCAAGAGAAGGGCCCTTTTTCTCACCCCACCTCTACCTGCCTGCTACAGTATCTYCACCCTTTCCACTCTGCTTTGCCAAAGGCAGGGCATCCCCAGGGGTTGCTCTGTTTATATTTGTTGTTTTGAGAGTCTCCATACATTACCCAGGCTGGCCTCAAACTCCTAGACTCAAGTGATCCTCCTGCCTCAGCTTTTGGAGTAGCTAGTACCATAGGCATGGGGTTGTTTTACTTAGAGCCCCATTCTACACCTCCCTYAGGTGACAGGGACTGGTTACAGGCCATGACCCAAGTGATTACTTTATATTGTGCAATCCTGGGTGTCCTGCCCAGAAGAGTGTGAGATGTTCACCTGCCACATTCTAGGTTCTATATTTTTGTTAATGTAGCCAGAGCTTCTTGGATCTTTCTTGGTTACTACCTCACACAGACTTTCCTGGGTCTTTTTGGTAGGCCAGAGTCTATCTTTTCCTACTCACTGCTGTGCAGGCTGAACCCCATCAGTGTTTATAAGGAGTCCCTCCGAAGCGAGAAGCTCTGATGGCCAAGAGTGTGAAGGCTGACTCTGACCCCCACCCCTGCTGAGACCTAGAGATGGGGAGTTGCACATCATGACTTTGGGACACTTTACTGTGCATCTGTGGTTGGCTGCCAGGACCCTGGATTCCCCTAGTCCCCATTCCTCTCATGTCCTGCCCACCTACCCCTCCTGCAGCTTCCCTAGAGACCCTGAGAGCCCAGTGCCCCAAGTGGAGGTAGGCAACGCTGTGGTTTGGTCCTAGGAAGCTTTCCTTGAACAATTGCTTGCAGATTTCTAAGGGTCTGGGACTRGAGGGACGGGTGGCTCACCCACCATCTATTCCTGTGGCAGGCATGAGTGGGGTGAGAAATGGAGCCCCTAGGGGACCCAAGGACAGGACCCAGGGTCCCACCTCCAGACCTCAACCAGACTGTCTGGCCCTCTATATGGACATCTGGCCTTGCTGCTCACGCCTGGTGGCTGAGGTTCCTCTGATTCCTGTGCTATTTTCAGCCCAAGTAAGACCAAGATTTTCCACTCCTGGCCCCAGACCATTGTCCAACAGTGACGTGGGGTGACCTGCCTATCCTTAAAATATCTCCCCTAACCTCTGGACCTCCCTGCCCTTTCCCTTTCTCCCCACCCTGACATCACTTCCTAGGGCTGTTGACTACTAAAGGACACTGTGAAAGGCCACATGAGTCGCCCAGCCGGCTAACAGGACCCCAGGGATTTTCCAGCCCAGCCACAGGCCTCAAGGCCAGAAAGGGGCGGGRTCTTGTCCAAGGTCACTGAGCAGGTCAGCGTGGCGCCTGGATGTGGGCCAGAGGCTCAGACTGCTCCTGCCGCTGTGCCACCCAGTCTGGAGCAGATCAGTGCCTGTGTAGGAATCCTGTGTCACCCACACTGCACAGCTCTTTCCCAGAGGYCAGGGACATAGGCAGGGGGCTGGAGGGAGTGAGGTGAGAGTCAGGCTTGCTGGCCTCTCTGCAGCTGCTTTTTCAGTGACCTCTGTGTGACAGTGCATGGCCCCTGGCACATGGGAGTCTCTCCCCTGGGTGGCAGGCATCCCCTGACTCGCAGGGGATCCACAGGACAGTCCCACCTCCAAGATTAAGAAAGACCCTCTATGACATGCTCCCCACACATGGCTGTTCCAGTCTAGTTCCAGGTCAAGCCACCAAAGCTGCCTTTCTGTCCACCTCATCATGGCAGATTTGGGCTGGTCTGTTTCACATCAGGCACACGGGGCATGGGRTGGGGCTGGGGACTCAGGTATTGACCCATGTCCCAAGCACCATGCAAGACTTTCCCAGGCATCATGTTGTTTATCCTTCATGCCCACCTCAAACAGTGGACATTAGTCTCTGCATTTAGCAGTGAGGACAGAGGAGAGGGGAGCCAAGGGCTTGCTCCAGGTGACACACACAGCAGGTGAGACCAGGGCCCCCTGATGTTCCCATGATTCCCTTCCCAGTGTCCCACACCACTCAACCTCTGCAGGGCAGGAGGGTCTGGACGCCACCCTTGGCATGATTCAGAACCAGGAAGCCCGTCCAGCAGGGATGAGGTTAGGAGCTCAGATTCTGCACCAAGACCCACCTGGGTTGCAATGTCACCTTCCATTTTCCAGCCATGGCACCTTGGGTGAGTTAATCCTGTAGTGCCTCGATTTCCTTATTTAAGTGAGATGCTACCTCCCTTGCAGGGCTTTAGGAAGCTCACCTGAGTGACCCACGAAGCGCTTAGTGCAGTGCCTGGCATGTGGTATTTCCACACCTGACACTGAACTAGGAACCATGGAGGCAAGTGGGGGTGGGACGGTGGGGGGGCTGCCTTCCCGAGGTTGATGTAATTTAATAAATACACACACTGAGATAAATGTTTGAAGAAAAAGACAGTGTGCCTGGCCAGCGAGCAGCCCCTGGGGGCCTGATGCCCAGTACCCCTGAGGCTCAGGTTTCCCCAGGCTGTGGCAGGAGGGAAGCAGGAACATCCTGGTTGAGGTGTGGCCCTCCCTCTGCCCTGCCTGGCCCTGGTGGCTTTCAGGCACACAAGCCTGTATATATTTCCAGAACTTTTTCCAGGTGCCTACCTGAAGGGCAACAGAGAGGGGACAGTGGAAGGCGGAAGCAACGGGGGAAAGTACCCCTAATTCAAGCTGCAGGAGCCAGCCCCTTTGGAGTAGAGAGCTCCRGCCCACTTGGCAGCAGGCTTAGGTATTCCTTTCTCGCTGGCAGTGCCCACCATGGTGGTCTGCAGCCACACCTTGGTTCAACAAAGATCCAGCATGGGAGGAGTGGCCTGGAGTTGGTCCAGAGGGGGCAATGACTGGGCAGCTTTTGCTGTGTGACCTGAAACCACCTGCCTCTCTCTCTGGGCTGCCGCTTCCCAATTCCAGTTTTCCCCACTTCAGGTAAGGCAACCACTGCTGCCTACACTTCAGGGTCACGAACAACCAAGCCCACTGGGCTCTCAATTCAGGGGACTGGCAGTGAGCCCTCCCAGGGTCAAGTGACCAGAGAGACGGAGTGATCATGGCCACCACACAGTGCCACACTGTAGAAAGCGGGGCTGCTCCTGCCTCCAGTGAGCGGAGGGCGGAGCTGGATCAGGAGCGACTGGGTTACAGGGTGGAGGTTGTGTTGGGGTGAGGGGAAGTGTGGGAATCAAGCCCCCCAGGAAAATTCCTACCCTCCTCTGCCCTGCTGCTCTGTGCCTGGGCATGCCACTTCTCCTCTCCGGGCCTCAGGTGCCCATCCTGGATCACACTGGACTCTGCTCAGTTCCTCTTCCTTCTGGAAGGGCTTTCTGGGCTTGTCTATGTTGGATCCAGCTCAGCCAGGTGTCTGTCTCRGCCCTGTCCCAACCAGGAACAATGGGCCAGGCGGGGACAGTCACTCTTCAGTAGAACCATGTTCCATCCACTCCCCTAGACTATTTTCAGCCTTTGCAGAGGGAGTCAGAAAAGGATTTTCCACTCCCAGCACAATGACTGCCCTGGACCATTGTCCAGCATTGAGTGGGTGATCCACCCGCCCCAAAATATCCCCTACCCTACCCTCTGGACCTCCCTACCCTGCTGCTCATCCTGAYGTCATTTCCTTGAACTGTTAACTCCTGAAGGCTACTATGGAACAGCAGGTGAGAACTCGGAGGCACATGACCAGTTGAAATGAGTTTCTTTCCTGGCAGGGACCTCAGGGATTGTTTGGCTGCTGAGTGAGACTATAGGTTCAAAGAGGGCTTTGCCTCATCCAAGGTCGCACAGCAGTCAGGATGGAGCCTAGTGGGAGCCCAGCGCTCTGTGACTGCTCCTGCTTCCTCATTAACTCCAGWCTGTGTCCAGAGGAATTGAGTGCTTCCATCTTTGAAGGTCTAGGGTGGGCCTCCAGGGAATAAACCTGAGTGGTATGGGTAGCAGGGCTACTTCTTGGGTTCTGACAGTGGAACAATGAATTCAGTGCAGGGACCTGAGTTTAAAGTCTGCTATTCCCCCTTTTGGTCTCATTTTTACCAAAAGTAGGTATTAAGGAGTAAATGCGTCCTTCACCTGTTGAAATCCAAATTGG